GCTTCGTTTTAAAGCATTTGAAGATCAATTCTCTCTTGGTTTGAATGGATTGGATTAGAATATATATTTCATGGATTAATCCTACTTTATGCCATTAAAAATACCAAATTATTGGTATTTGTCAACTAAGTTTACAGCTACAATGTTATTGTTATAAATTAAGATGAATATGCAACACTCTTCCGCACAACATATTCACAATGAATTACTTAATTTTTGTATTTACAGTTTCTTGTTTTTTTTTTCTTTTTTCTATAATTCTAGTACGAATTTGATTACTTGGAAGATGGCTCAAACTTGGGCACGAGGGTTTTACTTGCACAAACAGGTGTGAAATGGACTGATTTGTTTTATCATCCTAAATATATTTATAAATCAATTTGTTAAAATTGAGATATACTCATTTATTTATATTTATAAGAGAAAGTTAGAAAAAAGGTATAATTCTTTTTTTATAAATCATGTTATTGAGTTTAACTTTTTTTTGTGTACAAGAGAAAAATATAAAAAATTATATAATTTTTAAAAGAAGAAAATTATAAAAATAAATAAGTAGATACACAAATTTTTATTTGTTGGATTGAATATGAAAAGAAAATTATTTTTTTATTATACATAAAGAATATGATAAAGTAACATAATTATGTTTTTTTAATCTGTTATAAACTTTTTCTTTGATTTTTTTCTTTTAATTATACCGTAAATAACTAAGCATATATTATAATAATAATAATAATACAAATATTAATTTTGAAGTAAATATTTTATATTCTAAAATCTCTCTCACAGTCTAACACTCTATATGTTTTCGCAAATGTACTATTGAAGCGAAAGGGATAACACAAATTATTGGTGTTTTCATCTATTAATTTGAACAAAAATGTGCAGATGGATTTGAGGGAGAGTGAGACTTTTGAGCCCCTCGTACATGAGGAGAAAAACGAATAAATAAAAAAGAAGGAGAGTTGAATTATCTTCTTATCCTTGTTTCACTCTTACGAAATTCATAATTGTGATTCACGTGACTTTGCATGCATGTAGTGAATCCTTGCAATGTTCACATACCGATGTGTGTGATGTGCGTTGGGACGGAGAGTTACCGAGAGATTGATTGAGAGAGAAAGAGATAATTCATTGTCGACGAGAGAATCACATATTATCGATTATCTAAGAGTTGATGAAACAAGAATCGATTATCGCTTAGTTTAAAAGCATTTGAAAATCAATTCTCTCTTGATTTGAATGCATGATCAATTTTGCTTCTTTAAATGCATCGAGAATCTATTATCTCTTAAATGATGAGAACTAATTCTTTTTAAACCATAATTAGTTTTCAAATTAGAGAAATCTTTTTCTCAATTTATTAGTATTAATAGGGAGAATCAATTGTCATTTTTAAAAAATCTATTCCTTCTCAATTCTTTTATTAATATTAAATTATACTTATATTTTATTATTATTAAATAATAAATTAGGTTTGTTATACATATATTTAGTATGAATAATGTTATTAATATATTAATATTAATAAAAAATTTATTTATTACTGTATTAACGATAAATTAATAATTTTATAATTATCAGATATTTAAAATATGTTATAGTATAAACATTTGATATGATTTTGTAAGCTATTGTAAAATATAATATAATTATAAATTTTATTGAAGAGAATATATAAATTAGATAATTAACATAAAAAAATATATTTCAATAATCTAAATATTAATACTAATAATATTGTAAATATTGATTTTAATTTTATAAATAATAATAATAATAATAATAATAATAATAATAATAATATAATACTATTATCATGATTATTGGTGTATTAGAATTTTAATTAAAGTAATAATAAAAACTGAAATAATAATAATAGTACGTAAATAAATAAGAATCTAAATTTTATTTTTTATAATGTGTTTAGTTTTCTTTTTTTACCTTATATAATTATTTTTATATCAAATCAACTATAATAATTATTTTAAAAATTTTAGTAAGTTAATTTTTAATTACTAGGTTACAATAATTTTAACGTGAAACAATTTAAAAAAAAATTAACTGGGTAAACAAATTTTTAAAACTTTTCTATTTTAAATAATAACTCATTTATTTTAACATAATTTGTCTTAATTATATTTTATTTTAATTTATAAATTAAAATATTTTTTTAATTCATCAAAACAATCAAATCATTTATAAAATTTTCTCTTATTTTTGTTTAATATTTTTTATTAAATTTTTTTAATTCAAACAATTTCACCTATCTCTTTTTCTCTAAATCTATTCATTTCATTCCCTTAAATTCATCTTTTAAACCCTTATCTGCTTTATATATTTACTCTTAATAAGAAAATAAGGGTATTGATAGATTGAGTTTATATATATATAAATTTGAACTGATTTGTGAGGAAATATTCATCTAATACATATAATTTTTTAATTTGTAGAGAAATAGAGAGAAAAATAAGAGTTATGAACTAAAATTCATTTATGCTCTTATAAATTGATTATTTGAGGGTAATCCAATAATTTTTTATTTTTTTATTTCCTGAAACAATATTAACTAATAATACTTTTAATAAATTATGTTTATTTGCAAGTTAATATTATGTTAAGATAATAAATAATACTAATAATTTATTTATATTATTTTTTAAAATAATATTTATACCGTTATTTTTAAATTTTATTTATATTATAATTTTTGTAAAATAAATGAAATATTATAATTATTTATTATTATAAATATTATTATTTAAATATATATAAATAAGAATAATACAATATTATATATAATCATATGTCAATCAGTTATTTTTTTATTATAATTAAATTGTATTAGGATCATAGAATTTTAAAAACCACCTAATCGAATCGAATGAAGGTGTACAATCTATTATAAAATATAAATAATAGATTATATATACAGATTGCGTTAAAAAATATTATATATATATATATATATATATATATATATAAAAAGTTAATGTTGATAATATATATGTATAGTAATACCTGATTTTATAATTTTTTATTATAATAAAATTAAATTTAAATGTAAATGTAAATATATATTTTTATAATGTTATTGATTTTATTTATTAGTATATTTTAATTTTTTAATTAGTACTTAAAATAAATTTTTATACATAATTCATAATTAATAATTTTTTTAAAATTTTAAAATTTAAATTAATTACTTTAAATTTATTTATTTTTATAAAATAATTTATTTTTATTTTTACTAAATTTTAAATAAGAATAATTTAATAAATTATTTTATTAATATATATATTTTTATTTCAAATCATTCAAATTAATTATAAATTTTCCATTTTTTATTTTATTTTTCACCTTCTATTTTTTTAATCCAAAAAAAGTTTAAACATTCATAAAAAATATTCAAAATTATTTTTATATTTTATATAAAAAATTATTATATTTCAAAATTTTATATATAATATAAAATAAATACTCTATATTAAATTATATTATATTCTAATTTATACTCATTTTATCTTTTATTTATATAAAAATATTTTAATCATTATATACTTTATATTATTATTTCAATTTTTATATTCAATTTAATCAATCTTTACTTTCTATCATTTTTTTTAACTCACAAATACAGACCATAAATCTAAATTGACTTTCTTCAAGAATCCAGGAACCACAGTGCACACTTTATTGTTATTGTGATTATTTCATAAAAAAATATTTAATTTCTCAAATATATTGTTATTGTTGTTAATAAATTGGTACAATTTAATTAATGGGATTGTTTTAAGAAGATTTGGTTGAATTATAATCGGATATATCCATTTAAAGTTAGATCTACTTGTATAAAATTGCAATCTGATTTATTCTTTAACTTGTTTTAGTTTCGTAGCTGTGTTGAATGAAACTTTGTTATTCTATAAAAATAAGTAATATATTATATACCTTCTTGTGCGGTGATTGAACCCATCAATGTTATGTATTTTTTTTTAATTTATATTCTTATAGTTGTTTATTATCAAAATTACATTTGATATTACGAAATTAATCCAACGTCAAATCATACAGATCTCCAGTATCTTTTCTCAGTTGTCGTGACTTGTGACATAGTGAGAAGGTACAACACTTAAATGAATAGCAGAGTTTTTTTTTTTTTAAGAAATATATAAATAAGGTTTGTAACTTATAAAAGAAAAAAAAATTGAGAAAAAGATAATCACAAAAACGGCATCAAAATTAGAATTTCTTTTTAAGAGCTTAAATCTTAAGGAATTAAGAACATTTTATTTTTTGAATGGTTACAACTTACCTTACTTGAAAGTTTACATAAAATTTGTGGTATATAATAATAAGAGTAGTATTTATCCAACTAAATTGGACAATAGAATAAGTTTATAGATAATTGACGCAAAGGAACTTCTTGGTCAAAGAAAAGAGGAACTGGAGCAGCCATCTGAATTTTCTTAGGATTATATTACAACATTTTACAGATAATTGAGACAAAGAAGATAATTTAGCCAAAGTAAAAACGAATAGAAATAGCAGCCATTTTAGTATTTCCTTGGATAAAACTGCACCTTTTTCTCCCACGTGGAAAGCATTTCTACATTTTCTGAAAGCAGAAGGAGTCACAGATCTTTCTCCCAGGTGGCCCTGGTGGTGATGTCATTGACTTAATTGATAAGGTTTAATGCTCATAGTTGTAACATGCATGAATGTTTATGTTAAGTTGAACCTTCCCAGAAGCATCAGATAAAGGATGAAAAATGAGTGAGACTCAACTCAAGTTGGTTTAGAAAAGTTTGATTTTGCAGACATAGGTGGAACCTATATCAAAACTCTGCATTCAAATTCAGAGATTTGGATTCTTTCTATCGACAAAGAGAGAGAAAGACTCAGAATTTGGCTGACAAAGGGGCCTCACTTCAATCTTGCATGATCTTTCTTTGGCTGCTGCATCATGTAACAGCTGGAAAAAAATTATATACTACTATTCATATTATTTTCTCTTCCTTGGAAAACCTAGCCTGAAGTGTAAACCCCCTCTTCAGAAAATTTGCATCAAATAGTGGGGTTGGCATGGCCACCTACACTGGATTTTGGTCGGAACCTTTTTCTTTCTTTTCCAACAACCCATAACTGGAACCATGTGCTTATAGTACAACATGGAGATGAAATACAAATATTTTAGTGGTCAAAAGCTGGCTCTATTGATAAAAGCATGGATCACCTTCGGTAAATTAAATACCCCACTACCTCTGCCGCATCATGTGATAATAATTGATTTTAAATTGTTTCTGAGGTATACCTCACATGAAATGCAAACAACTTATGATTAAATTAGTCCATGAGAAAAAAAAACTTAATGAACGCAATATTTTAGTAATTAAATGTGAATGATGTGAGTTTAAGACATCTTTGGTTTGGAAGATATGAATATAATACTGGCAGTGACAGAACATTTAAGCTAAATATCTGAATATAATATTACATCATCGATGCCTCTAAACAATGTGCTAGGTTTATGTCCATTATTACTCTTAAACTGATATTTGATTCGTTTATATGTACTTAAACTGTTTTATAAAATGTTTCTGTTTCGGTGGTATGATTTGTCAGGAATAAACATAATCATTTTGAATGAATTAGTTTAACTATAATCCAAACATAATCTTGTATTACAAATACCCCTTATTATTACTTCCAATGAAAAATTATGTTTACTGCTCTTGATTTTTTCATTAAAATAAAATGGTTGTTAGAACATCATATGTTTGGTGAAAGTTCAAATGTTTCGGTCATGGAATAAACAATAATCACAAGCTAAAATTTGTGTATAATAATTTGAGTTTACCTTAAGAGGTCAATTGCAGCTCACTCAAACACCATAGATGATTGACAATGGGCTTATAATAAGACTAACAAAGAGAAGAAGATCAGACGCCAAGGTGCACCAAGAAAAAAAATATGTAAAAGTTTTGATTAAAGTACCACTCATTACCTAAGATTCCAACCCCACCATCCATTGATGTATAAATTTTTAAATAGGTGGTGGTCCAACATCAACCAAGTAGATCACCGTCATGTTGCAGTTACCACTTGCTGGCAGCATATATATATATATATAAATAAATTGAGTAATTTCCTGTTCTTGTTTTGCAAAAGTTTTACAAAAACATCTTAGACTGTGTGCAGAAATTGAAGTCTAAATAAACATAAACTAACCTGCGCGTGCACATGAATAGCAGCAGTGACCATGTTGCCCTGTGTGACCCTTTCCAAGTACTTTCCCCCTTTCCTACTTTCACCTTCTTCTTTTATTTCTATTGACTTTTTAATTCTGCACAGCACACCAGAAAACAAAAAACAAAAAGCCAAACACCAAAAACCCATTGTCCAAAATTTCTGCTTTATTTTATTCTCTTTCATTATTACAATGGCAATTATTTCTCTATAAATCCCGCCCCTGAATCTCTTCTAGACCTCTTCTCTTCTCTTCTTATCCTCCTCCTCAAAACTGGTCAATATCTATCTCATATTCCTTCTTATCAGCATCTTCTTCTTCTCTGTATCCTGTAGAATTGAAAAGTTCAGCCTGCCCATAGTCTTTGACACCCTTTTCCAACCTCTGGATTTTTCTCCCCTCTATAATTATCTCCTCCACACTTACACCTCAACCATCATCAATCACCACAAAACTTGTTCTTGTTCCCCCCAAAACCTGTTTCGTTTCTCTTGCATAGACTGATTTCGATTGTTGTAAACTTGTTCATACTCCATACACATGTTATGCAGTTATGAATGATTGAGAGACAACACCAATGTCTTCTCCAGTAATCTGCGAGATTCTCCTCTCTGGCTTCACCATCAACTCTTCTCTAAGACGCAGGACACACTTGGTTCAATCTTTCTCAGTTGTTTTCCTCCACTGGTTCTACGTTTTCTCATGAACTAAATCAACCTCCTACTCATACAATATATATTACAACATATTTTCTTTCTAAAAAATCAACATAGTACCCTTGTTTTTTAGGTTCGATCAATACATAATATTCAATCATTAAACCTAGCTAGGAAATTAGATTTATCAATTAGCTATTGCACAAATAACAGACATGGCTTCTCCTGGTGGAGCCTGTTCATCCGGTTCCAGTTCTCTTCAAAACTCTGGCTCCGACGGAGACAGAGACATGGTGGATCAGAGGAAGAGGAAGAGAATGCTGTCCAACAGAGAATCGGCACGCAGATCGAGGATGAGGAAACAGCAGCACCTGGAAGGTTTGAGTGCGCAATTGGATGAGCTGAAAAAGGAAAACAATCAGATGAACACGAACATAGGCATGACGACCCAGCTGTACCTGAAGGTGGAGGCTGAGAACGCGATTCTGAGGGCGCAGATGGAGGAACTCAGCAACAGATTGAACTCTCTGAACGAAATCATCGGATTCATCAACTCCACGAACTACTTGCTGTTCGATGAGGCACAGGAGACTCAGATGTTCAATGATTGTGGCTTCATGGATGCTTGGAATGGAATGCCCCTCAATCAACCGATCATGGCTTCCGCTGACAATGACATCTTGATGATGTATTGATTGCTGAATAGTTCTTGTTTCACCGTCTCCCATTTTAATTTCTTTTTCTTTTTTCTTGTAATGTTCTATTGTTTTCTCAGTTTATGTTTTGTTAAGGTTGTTTCTATTTTCAGAAGGTTTCTTTTTTCTTCTAAAAATTTTAAAAATTGGAGCTTTTAATTTTCATGAATATTGTTTTTTGTTCATTTCCCCTCATTATTAGTTAAATGTCGAACTTATTTTTGAAGTTTAACTTATAGTATGTTTCTTTCACATTCATGAAAAATTTGTCAGTTTCATTGGTTAAAAAATTATTTTTTAATATAAACTTGAAGACGCAAATATTTTGTAATTTATTAGTATAAGTTTTGAATTCTTGTTCATTTGTGATAAAAAAATAATATTAACATGTTTTATTGCATTTTGGTTTCCACAATGAAAAGGAAGAATTTTATATTTTCATAGAAATGTGCAAAAATATTTTTCAATCCTATAACAACTTCCATTCTTATTTTAATATAACTTTAAATTAGAAGCATTTCTAAAATTATTAAAAATTAAGAAAAGAAATAACAGAATATATTCAAAGAGATCAAATTACAGATGCATTTATCTACATTTGAATAGTATTTTTAATATTAATTTTAAATATTATGATTTTATTTTAAAAGATAATAAAAAGAATAATGATATAGATTATCAGTCAATAACGTAGTTTCATATATATTTCTATTAATGTAATTATTAAATTATAATTTTATATTATTTTAATTATTTATATAAAATCCTATTAAAATTAATAATTAGTATATTTTATATTGATATATATATATATATATATATATATATATATATATATATATATATATATATATATATATATATATATTGTTAAACTAATAAGATGTGACGCATTTGATTCGTAGCTATTTGGAGATCAGCAAAAAAATATAATCAAGAATCACGTTTCATCACGTTTTCATGTGACAGGAACATTTTTAAATTCGAGAGAATAAAAGAATAAAATATTTTTTTAAAGCGTAAAAAAAAAGTAAAAAAAATAAAAATGAAGGTGTTCACATTCACTGTGTAGAGAGAGATGAATGACATTGTGATGTAAAAAAAATGTTGAATTAATGTGAAACTTCATTGATTAATTGTAAAGGGGAAAACAATTAATAGTTTGATATTTTAATTTAAGAAAAGAAAAATGATTGTACCATTTTCAAAAATCCAAGTGTTAATTTGTCCATAGGAATATAATATTTGCATTATTGGTAGTGAATGATTTCATTGATGGAGAGAATATTTGGGGAAAATATATAATTAGATAATTCTTCCTCTAAAAAAAATGAAAAAAGTGAAAAGGTGAAGTGGAATATATGGAATATTCCTCTCTCACAATTAAAATATATAATCGAGTACGGGTGTGAATTTCAAATGCCCCAAACTAACTTTATAGAAAAGTTGCATAAGATTGAAACAACATTTCTTTCATTTTGTGAACATTTTTAATAATAATAATTATTATTTATATGACTTTTTAAAAATAAAATATATTATTTTAATGTAAATATCATATTTAAAATGATTTAAAAACAAATCAGATTGATTTTAAATAATTTTGACTATGGATTTTGAATAAAATAATATCTTTTTAATTCTTTTTAGTTTTTAAAATGATTTAAAAACAAATCAGATTGATTTTAAATAATTTTGACTATGGATTTTAAATAAAATAATATCTTTTTAATTCTTTTTAGTTTTTATAAATGTTATTTATTATCTTGTGTAATGAAGTAGTAATGATAAAATGGATCACTTTATATTGTTTTGGTCAATTCTCTTTTAGTAGCATATCAAAACGTAAACTAAAATCACCTATCTATTAAATTGGACCTAACTATTTGTCATCTATATTTTTGAAAGAAAATTTACAAAATTAAAGAAAAAAATCCTTACCATTTTTTTATTTAAAGGTGATTGCTTTGTACATTTAATCCAAACAAAATATTATTGAAGCTTAAATTTTTTATCGCATTGAAAAGAAGAACAGATAGAAAAGCAACTAAAGATATACAACCCTTGAAAATAAAAATGTAAAAGTGACAGAAAAATCACATCATAATAATATTTATGTTGCATATTTATCATAAAAAAATAAAAAGAGTTAACTTTAATCCTTTAATCACTTCCATATTAACACAAACTTATTAAACATGTGAAATGTGATTGAAGAAGCGTGTAAGATGAGGAGGACATGGTAAAAAAATATAATTTTTATGAAACATGAAAAGGTGGTCTGGTCTCAAAACTTTGGTGGTTATTGATTAGGTTGAGTCTTATCATTTATTTTAATCGATAGAGAAGGTCCATGAAAAATTGAGAACTCTTTAAAATCTTATCAATCATTCATTATTATACCACCTTCTAACATATAAAAGCTTTATTGCGTATTACAATTTAATATACACATTATTGATTGGACAAAACAAATGGATAAATTTAAAATATTTTGATGAGTTGAAGACTGTGTAAGCACTTGAGAAGATAAGTGATGAGACCTAATATATTTATGACATGAAGATATATCTTAATAAAATTTGTTAAATTTATTAAGTTTATTGTAAAAATTTCTTTAACATAAATACAAATATGTTGAAGATGAATATAAAATTAGAAATATAATTAAATTATAAAGTTTGTTTTTTTATTAAAAAATAATTTTAAATAGTTAATGCACAGAGGAAAGACTAAAACAGAATTATTATTTTTAAAAAAATAAAAAAAGTATGTCATAGAAAAAACTATAAAAATTATTCCATTAATACAAATTTTCAAAACTTATATATAATCAGTTTTAGTCATGATTTTGTTTGGTAGCAAAAGCAAAGACGTAATTTTTATTATGAAAGAAAGAAGCTTCATAAAAAAATGTACATTAAAGAAAAACCATTTGTATCATACATCCCTCTTAGACAAGATGTCAAGCTCAATGACACACACTTTTTCAAAAGTGACACTAAGATGTCGACAAGTGTTTAAGGATTAAAAATAAATAAACGTGTGAAATAATTGAATCAATTTATTAAAAAAAAACACTTATTTTTATCAACTTTTAAAGAAGCTTTTAAAGATAGATAAATTATTATATTAATATTTATCAAACATGAGCTAATTATCTAGAAGGACCAAGCTAGTCAAAAGATATTGTCTACAAAAACCCTTCAAATTTGAACAATTTTTTTATTGCTTAAATGTATATGTGTAGTGCAAATGAGTCAATATTATATAAAAAAAAAAATCACTTTATTTACCCTTAATAAATGTAGTAGAAGATGACAAGCCAATTTTCAATGTTGTAGTTCCTTTTGGAGGAGGGGAAAGGGTATGTTTCCTTTTGGTGGAGGAGAAGGGGGTATCTATCTTCATTAGAAAAATAAAATTGAGTTTATGCTTAGCATGGTACAAGATAAATTGTATAAGTTACCTAATTTGCACATTGCAATTAAAGTTAAAACATTTATTGTTAGGTGTAAAACACAAATAGTAATTTAAGCAATTCTGAAGAGACAAAAATGGTTTGAGTAAATTGAAAAAATAAAAATAAAAATCCTACCTATTGAACGGGCATTTGCTTCCCGAATACTTTTTAAATTTGAAGCCACTTTGAAGAAAGACAGAGAATTACTATATATAACAAAACTTTGTTTTTTCTTGCTACACATTTTTCTTTTTGCGATTTTGGGTCTGGTTGTTTGTGATTGAAAAATAATTGCTAAAATGTATTTCATTTTTATTTTTTTGTATTTTTATCCAGACGATATGAACATTCTAGGGCATAACGGCGCCATCCATCGGTTAAAAGCCCACTCAAGTTCATATTTTCTATAAGAAGAGCACTTTGAGATAAAATGGTTTCATAGATCGGAAGCTTTCTGATACACAGGATCCTCTTTCGAGGCAAGTGTAGAACATATTTGCATCTAAGTGGGGAACGACACTAAGAACTATAAGCTTCAAGCTTCCAGAGAAGAGAAAACTTAGAGAGAGAGCATTTTGGAAAGAGAACTTGTATTGATTTCACTCGATTGATTTCTCTTACAACATTACAAGTTTCCCCTATTTATAGCAAAAGCAAGCACACGAAATTCAAAGCTTCACTAAACTAAAATGAAATTCAGACCCAAAATTTATGTTACAAGGTGGAATCTGAAATAAGATATTCAAACTACGGCCCACACATCATAATGGCCTTACAAAAGACAAAATAGCATGATTCACACTTTATTTAAGTTATACGTATAGACAAAGTAGAAAAGATAAGATAAGATTCGAAAATGATATCTTATCTCTTCGTGGGAAAGTAAAATTGATCCAGACTTATCTTCCTTAACACGTTTGTCGTAAACGCAATAGACACGTGTAAAGATAAGGGAATCGTGCTTTAGTATCATGTCATAATGACAGCCATTAACTAAAGCCTTTACTTTAGTCAGATCGGGTGGAGCCAGATTAGTTCATCTGCTGGGCTTCACTCTTTGTCATGCTTCCATGTAATGGGTCCCAGTAAGGATACATCTTCTTGTGCATCATCATTTCTTCCATCAGATCTTCATTGATATTATCAGCTAGATCTTCGACCTTCTGGAAGGCTTCATCAGGGACGTTCATTTCTGATCTTGATTTGAAAAATCTTATCTCGTGATATTTGTCTTCTTGTGGAATGATCTGATTCATAGGATATGAGTCAGGTGGTCTCTAAGATGAGCTGGCGATGTTGGGGTCCATCGGCTTGGGCTGGTAATGATTCACTTCACAAAGGTGATGCACCAGTTGTGCACGGTAGCTGTTTTCAAGTGGGTAAGTATCAAAGCTGACCCAAAGATAAGCTTCATTTCTTGACCATAGATGTCCAGCTGGATTCAAGAAGTATGGACGATGGATGATGAAGATAGATGTCAAATTCTTGAGAGAGTCTTCAGTAACTCCTTTCTGTCTTTGACAATCTAGAATCTCCT